AAAAAAAAGTTTCATATAACACGACGATTTTTACTATTAAAAGTACTTTAAAAATTACAATTAACTATATAAAAAAAGATTGTTGCCAATCATATTTATCCTAATAACAGCCAATCAAAACAAACTTCCGCTATGCTGCTTTACTATTTAGTAAATTTTATGCCTTCTACCTCATAACATATGATTGGTTAATTTTTGTCGATCTACCTGTGATTGCCTATGATAATTAACCAATCAAATTACATAATTTTTTTAAAACGTTTATCATTAAACTAATTCTATTTTGTTTCTTAATCGGGAATGTCATTCACTTTTTTATTAATCAGAAATGTAAAGCGGTAATACAGATAATAGAAAATAGTATAGTAAAATAGTAAAATAGTAAATTTTCATAAAGATCCTGGTTTGAAGATTAATGAAATACTTAACCTTTTTAGTTAGATTTAATTAAACATCAAACAAATTAGAAAAAAAATTCTTCCGATTTTTTGATAATCCACCACTCAACAGAAGTATGATAATAGTGTAACATAACGTGGTTTACTATATAAATCTAATATAGTCCGAATATAGAAAATTTCTAACATAAGGGTGTGGTGGCTTAGTGAAGTGGTCTAGTCATCACCCCACCTGGTGGCAGGTCTAGAGTTCAAATCCCACGGACAACAAATTTTGAAAAATAGGTCTGTATTACTGTAACTTGTAGTGATTATCAGATTTGAAGATCTGTAACTTGAGTTGTACCAATGCATGCATAGAAGTCTGTTTGGCACTAGTCCAAGAGGGTACTGCTTGCACCTGAAAGATCTAGTTGGGAGCCAATTAGGTCGCATAAAGCTCGGGGATTAGCAAAACTACAGGGAACTCACCTGGGAAGTCCCAAATTGGGAAAGGCTGAATCTGAACTAGCAGAGAATTCAGCAAATAGGTCTTTAAGTAGGAGGACATACCAAACAAACTGCCGGTTGATGCACTGGAGGGTAAGGCCATATGCTCTGAAAGTATGAACCAAGAGGAGGGTGTCCTTCAGGCACCTAAAGCCTGGGCAGACTGACCTGTCCAGGTTGCCAGTTGGAAGTTAGGGATAGACCAATAAAGAAACTAGGTAAAGAAACAGCTGGAATGTGGTAACTAGGGTTATTGTGAATCTTGTAAGAGCAAGGAGTATGCAATGGGCAACTAATTAAAAAGGTTGGGCTTGAAATACGAATTGTGTTATGGCAGCACCCCAAAAGATGGCTTGAGATATGAACACAATAGTGGCAAGCAATATGTACTAATTGGGAAAAAATTGCTGAACATGCAGATGAATACATATGTGGGATATATACTACTCTGTTGGGTTTACTACAAGGATAAATGTCTTCTGTTGTTGACTAAAGTCTTAGAGTCTTTCACAGTAAATTACTGTTCCTGAAAGGAGTATATTAGGAGGAAACATGTAATATCAGTTGAAGCCAGAGAGTTTAAATAGATAGCTTCCTAGTTAGACTATAGGTATGATATCTAGTGTAGAACCCTTAGCATAGCACTAACACTTTGGGCAGACTACTTAAATAGGCAACCAAAAGTTGTACGTATGACTAGTTGTACTCTTATGATACTGATGTAATATGTAAGCCAGTCTTTGAACATATGGCCCACCCATTTGAACTAATAAAGTGCCAGGGGCCTAAGTAGTCACCTCAATGCAAAACCATTTTTTTTGATTCATGGAGTCTATTTTTTTTGATTCAACAAAACAGGCCCCTTTTTTTTTGTAACCAACTCAGTCACGTGACTGATTTATATAATAAGTTACACAAATATTTTATCATGTATTACACTTTGTATTACACAGATAGTAGTTGATTAAATATACGTACGTACATATGTTTGTACTAGACATACATATATAAGAAATTAAAGCCATTAATAAAGTGTATTGAAATAGCGATAAAAAGCTTTATTTGTGATGAACTAAAGAAGAAAGAAAGCAGTACCGATAGTTAAAGAGTGTTTTACCTTCAAGTAGTTGCAATTGAGACGAACATGGTATAACGATCAAAAGTAAAGCTCAAGTAAGTTAATAATTATACTATGTCGAATAAATACAAATGCAAATGAGTTTGTTGCTTGGATATATTAAGACTCATCATTATATTTTATTAATATTAATTGGCATAGGTGTATCATTAAATATGAAAGCTAAAAAAGCATAAATTAGGCAATTATTAATTTATAAACATTGTACAGTACTTGTTTTTAATAATTATCATTACTAATAAAAGTCATAGTTTAATTGAAGGTCAAATGAATATAGAATGAAAGTTAAGCATGAGGTATTTGAATATTATCAAAACTTACAGAGATACGTTAAAGAAAAAATTTAAAATTTGTAATAAATAAAAGTATACATTTATTTAAGATTACTGTAAAAAGCTTTTTTTATTTTATTTAATTGCTTATTCATAAAATATATAATAAAGCTACTTATTATATATTATGATTATTGATATAGCACTTTTTAGTTTTTTTACATTAAATTTTAATTGCAGTATTGCAAGATTTGGTCTTATTTTTTTTGCGATCAAACCAACTGACCAACTTGGTTGTATTAATTATATCATCATCATCTAGATGGATATTTTGAACTTGACATTCCTTGGCAAATTTCTTTCAATTCCAACTTAAACCTTGCTTATCAAAAAGCTCTTTCAAAGCAGGATTATCAATCTTTCTTCTTCGTAGTAGTGGCAGCGACAAAACAATTTCAGTATTTTTATTCTGTGAATTCAGCTAGAAAATATCATGTAGCAATAAAAAAGATATTTAAAGTTTTTCTTAAATAAAAACATATGAAATTTACTTACATAGTCTAATGCACTTTTGCATTTGTTATTTCGAATTCTTTTAGTTTGAAGCTGTTTAACAGAATGTGATATATTCATATTTTCAATAGCCGTAAGGGGGACCAATGGCTTAATTTTTAATATAAGTTAATACAAATTTTACTATTTAATCAAATATATAATATTATAAGAGAATTATACTTACATTCCTTGATTTGAGTTGAATAGAGGAAGTGAATGCTGATTCTGGAATATTATTACTAGAGCTTGGTATAAGTATTGAATCTTGATTATTACAATCTTCTATTATAATAGATAACTTATTCAAATTATCAATATCTTCATTAAATGTATAAGTATTATGATAATTATTTAATGTCTAGAAAATACAGTATATTAATTAGTATACTATAGTACTGAGTATTAATTTGATCTAAATAATTAAATATACTTTATTTTCAATAGCTATTTGATTCTTTGTTTCAATATTAACTTTTGACAAGCCAACAGTAGTATGTTTTTATTTTGGAAGTTCACTGGGCCTATAAGGATCTTTTTCATTAATTTGCTTTGCAGTTGGAAAAAAAATATTATCTCCATTTTTTTGATGCTCGCACAAAATTTCTGCAAAAGCTTCTTCATTAGTTCTATTATAGATTACTTTATTTTTTATATTAGATAATATGGTTCATTCTTTATTTTGAAAATAGTAAACCAGCTCATTTTTTATTTGATCAACCAATTTTTCATCTGACTTTATAGATACATAAATATGTGTCACATAACCTTGCTTACAGAAATTATGAAATGATCCATACCAAATAAAATCAAGACAAGTGCATTCACCAGTAATATAATTAACTAAGTAATAATCAGGACGTACTGGAACTATATGCTTTGCTGCAAGCTTTCTAATCATCTTTGATATCCCTTGAGCTTTATTATTTTCAAACTTAATTTTATCTGCTGTATATGGTGATCAGAAAGTGTTTTGCTGTGAATTGCTCATATGTACATAAAATAAGTTTTGATTATCTGAAACTTCAATAATATAGTTTTGTAACACTTTTAATCTTCCTTGATTAATACAACGTACTATATCTGGTTGAGGTTTATACAATCCATTTTGATGCTCAATAGTACGTGAGTTCCAATATGTAACAAGCCCTGCATTAAAAACTAACTAACCACAATTATTTGTAAAATTTGAATGAACAACTTTAATACCATAAAGTCATTCAATAAAGCTTAACACTATTTAAGTACCTGAATATCACTCTTCAATAGTTCTGTTCATTCATTCAGTAAAATTATTAGTGGTCCATGGCCTTGCATTAGTTCCATCTTCATAATCTGGTAAACACCTACCATCTATAAAGCCAAGAATCCACTCTTGACTTATCTAATTCTCTTCAAGATCACGTACAAAAAATGCTTTTGCTTCCATAAAAATTGAAAGTGAAAATATAAAAGTTTTAAATTCAATAGTCATTTCTTTGGCTTCAAATATGCTTCTACACCTACCAACAATCTTAAACACCAATGCTATTGGATAACTACATAATAATATAGCATATATATAAATAATATAATTATAGTATTGTATAGTTAATAAAATTAATTATCATATATTACTGTAAACTCCAATCAATTTTTTGTGTTCGAAAATGATTCCTGAAAGTTTGCATTATATGAAACCAACAAAGAATTGTATCACGAATAATAGGTTTCAATGCAGCTTTTGTTGGTCGATATTTATCCATTACTGCAAAAGGTTTCCATTCAATTGCACATGGTTATATACGCTTAAATCCTTTATTATTTAGTAATGTAATATATTTATATGGGTGTTCACAGCTTGTATTTTGACAAGGTATATTTGCCTTTATTGCTTTAATAGCAAGTCTTATTGTATATATATTAGATAAAGCAAATCCTATAGGTGTATCTTAGTTTCCACAATTTTCTACTACTAAAGCATGAATAAGTGCCCGATCATTATTAAGATCATACTTTGCATCAATACCAAAACAGAATAAACTGTAATTGTGTGCTTGTTCTAACCATATATTATCACTTACAGTAAGTTGATAATAATGCAGTGGTGAATTCAAAGGTGCAGTTTGATCTTCTTGTTGATAATAAAGAACAGAGCCATTTTTTTTAATTCATCTATAATTAATTCATATAATATAGTTTATAGACCTATATCACCATGAATATATTTATTGTTTCGTTCTAATAGTTGTTTAAGTTTTTTTTCATTACAAATGTTGGTTCTATTTTTTTCTTCTATCTCTAACTATTCTTTTGATACGCCATTAAATAGAGCTAGAAGTTTGAGTTTTACTTCTTTCGCAGTACACCCATCTGCTCTCCGACTTAAAATAACCTGATCTCTTATACTTCTTCTTAAATTAAGACGTGTAATGGCTCCTTCATGTTGAATAGGAATATTCGTAGGTATGTGCTGATCGTCTATACATAGCTGAACAGAAAATCTCTCTGCGACCATACTAAGTGTAACTCTAGTAATTATATGAATTTTGCATTTATGCATATCATTGCCATTTTTTATCATAATTTGAACAATTAGGCACACAACTTCCAAATTCACCACAGTCTCGCTAACAATTACCATCACCTGCACAATAAAAAACCCAATACCAAACACAAAAATCTTGAGCCAAGCCTTGCCGAATTTAAGCAACTTGTATTCAACCCTTTTCTGTAAGTTCAAATGTATTTTCTAAACAATTCATTGATTTTGTCATACCATTGATAGTTGTCTAGCCCTTAAAGTCAATTGCACTTTCTTCATGTTTAAGAATAACAAAGTTTTTTTGAATTGTCTAATTCACCTTTTGTCAGCTTTGGCATTTGAAACATGCACCTTTTACAATTGGAAGTGACAAAACATATGTCTCAACAGCATGTCCAAATGGTAGACCAATACTTCTATCCAAATTTATTTGATATAATGTACACATTAAAGCTATATTTAGTTAATAACGTTGTATATTGTTGCAGGAATAAGTAATTAGCCACTTGATTTAATTGTTATTATTATCCTTTACTAGATAAGACTTACTTTTTTTGCACAATGATTGTTCTTTAACTAATCACTAATATTTATCTTTGTTTTAAATGCACTGCTCTTTCTACTACTTTATTTCTTTATACTTGCTTGAGGCTCACTTTTAATTGTTCGTTTGTTAGGTAATTTTTTGACTCCTTTACTTTATTTATTGATTCCTCTTTTAGTTTACTACTAATATCGTCTTCTTTATCTCCAAATGTGCCAACTTCTAACTACTCTTTTAATTCCAAATACACTACCACCTTTTATATGTTCCATCTTTCTTTCCAAATACCCACTTTTTTATATTCAAACATATCACCTTTGTTTCCAATGACGCTTGCTCTATAAGCTTCCATCTTTCTTTACTGTGTGCTTTTTCAGTCTACTAATAAGACATGTTTTTATAAATATACTGTCTTCTATATTCTTTTGATTTAATAATTGATGTTTTTTATTATTCGTTTTGAGGTAAAATTTATTTTCTGCTATTTTCTAGTTTTCCACTATTGACACCTTTACTTTTTCAACGTACACCTTCTTTGAAACCTTGTTGGTAAATTAAGCAAACTTCTTTCTTATTGTCGCATTATGATCTATGACTACATATTTATGTAATTTTATATTATCGTTATTATCTATGACTTCATATTTATGCAATATAAACTCCAATCTATAATTTCATATATTTAAGCCTAAAGTCAAGAAAACATTTACTTAGAAAAAATTGTTACTTTTCTATTGACTCACCCCCATATATATATTATATATAGTTTTTTATAGATGAAATTATTCAATCTTAGTACTAGACAAAATTAATAATATATTTAAAAATTAATAGAGAAAGTTTAATGTTTCAAGACTAAAAGCCATTTTTTAAAATAAAAAATAGTATATACTACTGTACTAAAAATTGTACTATCTTGTAATATAATAACCCAAAACGAACGATTTTCAAACTATTTAATTTACTTTATCAAGACAAATTTAATGGTGTAAAATCACTTTAATTGGGATTTTTGGCTTCAAAATATAAGTAATAATAATAATAATAATCTTTCAAAATTAGCAAATGCTTATTCAACATACTCACATATACCTTGACAATCTAACCCAAATTAAGTAATTTATTAGATAATTAAAATACAGAAATATATAATTAATTTTTTGATGAAATATTTACGTTAAGCAAAAATTTACATAGTATAAATCTAATTTCTCTTCACTATGTGAAAAGCAACAAATATGATTAAATTTCAAAAAATTTGAATTATATTCATTCTTATTAAAAAACAAATTGGCAAATTTACATATTTTCAACCCTTTGCAAGTGTATCTATATTTATATTCTTTCTCAAAAACAATATCTTCATATATAGCTTTTTCAAATTTTTGTATAGCCTGAGAATATAATCCATCTTGGCAAGAAGTTCATAATCATATTTAAGTTTACCAAAATAAATAACAAAAATTTTAATTTATTCTAGTTTACTACAATATGAACAGCATGGCGGACATTCAATTTGATTGGTTAAAAAATATAAACAAATAAACAACATGCATGATGCAGATCATTATTGTATGTAACAATAATACTAATTTTAATTGGATAATTTATTAGACATTCGATATCAATATGTTATAATATTACAAGTGCAAAATGCATATAAGTATATACATGTTATATATTTTGAAATAAGTGCTAATTTTTCAGAACTAAATATTTATAAAATAAAGCTTTTAAACTAGTAAATACACACAAAAAAGAATTGTTATAAATATATAAATATGTATAAAAGCATATTAAATTAATATTTATATATATATAATAAGCACAATCCTATTTTTAATCTAGTAATCATCGTGTCCTTTATTAGAGACGCAATACAAACTTTAACCTATATAATTATGAAACAATATTGTTCACATACTTATACATATTGATTAACTACTTAACCCAAAGTTATATACTGCTAACTTATGAACACATAATTATGAGCATTAGTGCTTATTGTTGGTATGTCAAATGGTTCTTTGAAATATAACTAAATACTACTGTAATTTGCGGCAAATAGCACCCCGGGTCTCTTACATTCCTAGGCCTTAAAAATTGATTAGTACCCTCCCTGGAACCATCAATTGACTATATAATTTGACTAAATTGATGCACAATTGACTGTGGGCGGGTACTTTAACAAGGGGGTACTATTTGCCGCAAATTACGGTAGCAGTAAATGTAAAAATATTCACTACTTAGTGAAGTTTTAAGAATATGAAATAGTTTGGTTATTTTTGCACAGCGAATAGATATTTCTTCAATAGTTTTTTTGTTAATGAAACTTTATATTCAAAAGTGCTTTAAACTAATTTACATTAGCACCTATGAAGTTGTTACTGTGGTCTGGGATATGAATTGTTGCACTAATTGATTATAGGCTATCAGGTGCATATCAATACATAATGCACATGGGTGCTAATTCAAGACACTATATATCATCAATTATCTTATGTTTTAAATCTCTGGATGTAGCTATATAAATTGCTGCAGACATTAAGAATTGAGGCATTATAATTGAAATGACAAAAATTACTGATACAGTAGCAAAGACTAAATAAAAAAGAAATATAAAAATCAAAAAAAAACAAGTTTGATACTTATCCAGTAAATTCCAATTTGGATATAATATTAATAAAGTAAAAGATAATATTAGTGATGAAGAGGAAAAACCTGTAAGTAAAAATTAATGTTATCACTAATATATATATTAGTGATAATATTAATTTTTACTTATAGCTTTTCTCTCTTCATCACTCATATATATATATATATTTTTCTACTAACTAGATCAATATGAATGAACACTTGTTAAAGTGGTCTTGACTGGTCTCTATAAAGAAGGTATATATGTAAAATATTAAAAAAAATACAAATGATTTAAGCTACAGTTATTATGGCAAAATTACCTCATAAGCTTTCAACACAATTGACAAATCACTATCTCGAATATATAAACATAGTGATAAGTAGGTATTTATGATCTTGACTTATGATTCTTTTGCCAACATAGTTCAGTAATTGGCTATTTAATAAGGAATTAGCCAATTCCCATCATAGTATTACTAGCCTCAAATAATATATAAATGCCTTATGCTTATCGATTTCGACACCAATTCCTAAATAATAATAATAGACAACTTGATACATTCTAGCCAGAATTATTCATATTTGCTGATTTTTGATAATGTGAGAATTATCCGGTAAAATAAGAATCAAAAAAAAGACAAAATTTATACTTATCCAGTAAATTCCAATTCGGATATGATATTAATAAAGTAAAAGATAATATTAGTGATGAAAAGGAAAAACCTGTAAGTAAAAATTAACGTTATTGCTAATACAAGTCACTCTCGTTATAGTGAACTCTCATTATGGTGAACTCTCATTATAGTGAAGATTGGTTTATAGTGAAGATTTTTTTAAGAACAAAACCAAAACTATTAATGTTTCACTTGATATAATAAAGTTTTAATAATAAACTCTTGATATAAGCTATAGTGAAGATTTTTTTTAAAAAATATAGTACATTAATAATAAATTTACTCTTGATATAGTGAAGATTTATATATAAAATATTTTTAACCAATTATATCAATTTAAATATTCTTTTGATATAGTGAAGATTTTTAAGTTTATATATAAACTTCATTAT